CCGCGATCGACATCACGCCATCCCGGAGCAACGGCAGCGGCGACGCAGAAGGCAACGAGCTGACGGCAGTGATACGAAGGTGGGGGAGCGCCTTCACGGTGTTCGAAGGTGCGGATCGAGACACTCCCCTGTGGCAGATCCAGATATGTCACGCCGGACGGAATTCCTTCGGATACCAAGTACTGGCAGTCGCCAGAGAAGCGGTACAAACCCATCCGAACCCCAACGTCCGGGACCTTCAACAACTGGAGTCGATTCTCCAGGTGCGGCTCCTGAACGGAGCGCCGCCCCAGAACGGTCCGTTGGACCCCGATGGGACAGGGCTGGAAGCATGGCAAGTCGTTTTGTACGCGGCCTCGGTTTCGGCGGCCTTGGAGTTCGTGCAGCTGGTACTGAGCCACAAAGTCACCAAGGGGCACCTGCTGCAACTACCCGCCCTGCAGGTCGCGAGTCCAGACGACTCGGTGGACGCCGTGCCGCAGCCTTGGAAGTCAAGTCACTATCCGCTGCACGGCCCGAAAGCTTTCACAGCACTGCCTCCAAGAGGACGCCGCCACATCTTGTGCCAGGTGGAGCTTCGCCAGCCCGCAGCCAGGACGACCAACAGCCAGGACTCGGGACAAGCAGAAGAGACGACCATGGACGTCGGGGCCGACGACAGCACGGAGCCCATCTACACCATCAGCATTTTCGGAGGGATATACCCGTACCGCGAACTCTTCGACGCGGCGAATATCTCTGGGGGCCACATAGCGCAGCCGGGCGGCAATCGCGACTACGTGCGCTTTCTGGAGGTGCACAACGACGACCAGGGCAGAAACAAGTTGAAGTCGATCTTCGAGCAGGTCTTGCTCCACGTACCTGTGTATCTCATCGACTGCACCCAGACCCCGAACGACGAGATGGTCTCCTGGCTCGGCGGCCTGCCCTCGGTGGAACTGGGGGAAACGGCCTCCTGAAGATGTTCGCTCGTGACTCCGTCAAGCAGAATCATTGCAATGTGCGGCGCGGCGCACTGCACAGAGCCCGCCCCTCGATCGGTACACAGAAGCAGAGACCAGTCGGCACCCGACAGGAAAAGAGAAGGCAGCACAGTGCAAGTCGGAGCAATCAGCGACAACACTATGCAAGAGAGTGACGGTAGAATACGACTTGCTGTGAAGCCACAGTGCACGCAGCATCTCAAGCCCTCGAGCCAAGATACTAGGCCCACAACCAGTCCGATTGCCGCTTCGCCGATAGCATGCCTACCTCGAACGGCTCGGCTACCCTCCCGAGCGCCGCCAACAGCCTCGCACACGCCTTCAAGAAAGCAGC